GATTGAGGGATTTGTAGCATGCTTGTTATGCCTTTTCCCTTCCGGGAAGATTGATAACTTCGTACGGGGTAGACGGGTCTACCAACTACAACCATGAAGTTAAGGTCAGCGTGTTGGAAGGTCTTCTTCCAAGGATGAAGCTTGACTCTGGTAGGGACTGCTAAGTCCGCTACTTTGGTTTGGAAACCTCTAGAGGTGTCGAAGGATCATACGCTTCACAGAAGGAAGAGATAGAATCCAACTTTTGTTTCTTATCAGGAGTGCAAGTTCCCAACATCGCTCCGGTTGGAATTAGATAAACTAAGTTTGTTTCGGTATGATAAAATAATCAATCCTGAATAAGGGATAAGTCAGACGCGTACAGACTATGGCATCGTTAAGCCCTTTTAATTAAGTGTGAAATGTTTTGTTTCAAAGTAGCTAAGGTAAGTTTGGTCGGAGACCTAATCTTTGGTCATATAGCCGTGTGATAAGTCTCGTACTCTATTTAGAATAAGAAAAGAAGAAATTCCCTGATCGTCTGTCATATATGCTGCCCATATTCTGAGCCTGTTTAGAAGGAACTCCATAACAAAGATCTTCTTTAACACGCGGGCCTAGTTTCCACCAACCCATATGTACCCCCTGATTTAGTGATGACACTGACAATACTATCCTTTCTTTTTTTTCTTAGGGCCGGATGCTTAGTTTCCTTCTAACTTAGTACTGATCTTTATCGTCTGATTTGCTTTCGTCGTCATCTGTCATAGGCCTCTCGTCCCATTATATTTCCCAAGATAAGATTCGTCGTGGTTCGGAGTCTCGTAGAGAGAAGAAATGCATCAGCAAGAGCATCATATGCTTTAATAAATCCAACACCAAAAAATAAAGAGTCAAAGAAGAGGGAGAAAATCATATCATCAGTAAAATATCCATGAGAAAAATATCTATGAGAAGAAAAAATGAGAAGGAGAGAAGAAAAAATGAGAAGTAGAGAAGAAAAAGGAGTTAGGTGAACTAGGCTTTGAAAGTTGTGTCTCAGCAGAGTAGAGTCTGCTGCAGAGACACTGCCACAGCCATGTTGCAACCGCCTTCAATCAGAAACATCAAATTAAAATTCTAAAAAGAGTTAAAAAATAAAAACTTACTTGGTCTTTAGAATTTTAAGAGTTAAGAAAGTGTCTTTGAAACTTTTTGGTTTTTGGAACTTACTTGACCTTTTTAGTGTGTTCACAAAAAAATACTCTAAAGATATTGCAACCTGCATATTAAAAAAAAACACATATTAATTTTAATAAAAGAAATATATATCAAAACAGTAAAGTTACTCTAGAAATAAATATGAGCATAGTGATACAATAAACAAACTGCTAGTACTAAGCCAATTTCGACACTGCCAAAGACAACTCCAATATATGCGCTGAAACATACTAGAAAATCAAAAGTGTTGGGGATAATAATGTCAACATCACTACTATTGACATTACAATGTTTGATGCTGCAGTTTTGCAACCAGCATTGTAATTTATAGCCGAACGCGAAAACAGTCCGGAATCAACATTCATTTTTTATGTCAGATTTGTTAGCGATTGATATTAATTGATGATGAAATTGTTTACTTGTTGTGAGGTAGCAAGAGGTTAGTGAACCAAAAATATTCATGGTACTCATGAAGAGCTAATTTCTTACATACTGCAATTCCCTTTGTTTCGATCATTATGTTACATCTCCTGCACATCAAAATCATCCACGCCCTTTTTGAGTACAGAGACATGAAACACCGGATGAACACGCGAAGTTAGACTGAACACGAAAACAGCCCTGAAACAACATTCATTTTTTATGTCAGATTTGTTAATAATTGATACTAATTGATGATGAAATTTTTTACCTGTTGTGAGGTAGCAAGAGGTTAGTGAACCAAAAATATTCACAGTACTCATGAAGAGCCAATTCCTTAGCTATCCAAGTCATCATGAAACTGTTTAATATTATTTAAATCTCACCTCACATCACCGTTTTAATATTATTTCAATGATTTTTTTTACTAACATACCATCTTTTTATTGCACACCCATATACACGAGTATCATACAAAATATTTGACTATAAAAAAATAAAACATCCCCAACTGATGAACAGAAAATAAACATTACATAATTACGGCCACAAAGACCGTTTTGTTTGAACGCTACATAAAAAAACAATCTAAAAGGCTTAAAATTGTTTGAAAATTACAAATCATCAAATAGTATCACAAATAAATTTGTCCCACCTCTTCCATCCTCGTCTTCCTCAGCACCATCCTTAGATTGGGCTAAAAATCATAATGTTAGCCATAAATATTCACAGTCTACTAATTATTATTTAGTATTATAAAAATATTCATAATAATATTAATACCAACACTGAACTATGTACTTTGTTTTAAAAATGGAAGATTGAGTTTTATGGAAAATTTTAAAAATATAGGTAACAACTTGCAGCTTACATTAGTATACAAGGATGCCTATCATGCAATATTTTTTATTTCTAATAGGGCTTATCTTACTTGCTATGAATTTTCAGATAATGATATGGCATATGTTGCTGATCGACTCACACTTATCTTCGATCAATTGGTCATTTGTCTTTCCAGCAAATAGTTGATGCTAACAATTTTTTTAATGAAAAACAAGATCCAATACATTTATCAAGAATGAAATTATGGACATCAATCACATTGGAAGACCAAATGAGATTCGTTCAAGCTGTTACCTATATTTTTAAAATTTTCCATACAACTCAATCTTCAATTACCCTATTAGAAATAAAAAATAATGCATGACAAGCATCCTTGTACACTAATTTAAGCTGCAAGTTGTTACCTATATTTTTAAAATTTTCCATACAACTCAATCCTTCATTTTTAAAACAAAGGACAAAGCTCGGTGTTGGTATTAATATTATTATGAACATTTTTATAATACTAAATCATAATTAGTAGATTGTGATTTTTTTTTTCTAACCTTTTTAGCCCAATCTAAGAATGGTGTTGAGGAAGACGAGGATAGAAGAGATAGGACAAATTTATTTGTGGTACTATTTGATGATTTGTAATATTCAAACAACTTTAAGGCTTTTGGATTGTTTTTTTTTAATGTAACGTTCAAACAAATCGCTCCTTGTGGCCGTAATTATGTAATATTTATTTTCTGCTCGTCCGTTAGAGACGATTTATTTATTTTATAACCATGTATTTTGTATGATGCTCGAGTATTATGCAATAAAAAGATGGCATGTTAGTAAAAAATTCATTGAAATAATATCAAAACGGTGGTGTGAGGTGAGATTTAAATAATATTAAACAGTTTCATGATGGTTTGGATAGCTAAATAAAAAATTTCATCAGTATCAATTGTTAACAAATCTGACATAAAAAATAAATGTTGTTTCAGGGCTATTTTCGCGTTCGGTCCAACTTCTCGAAATTTTGCGTGTTCATCCGTTATTTCATGTCTTTCTACTCAATAAAATCGTGGATGATTTTGATGTGAAGTAGGTGTAATAGAATGATCGAGACAAAGAGAATTGCAGTATGTAAGGAATTGGCTCTTCATAAGTAGCATGGATATTTTTGGTTCACTAACCTCTTGCTACCTCACAACAGGTAAAAAATTTCATCATCAATTAGTATCAATTGTTAACAAATCTGACATGAAAAATGAATGTTGTTTCAGGACCGTTTTCGCGTTTGGCTGTGAATTACAATGCTGGTTGCAAAACCGCAGCATCAAACATTATAATGTAAATAGCAGTGATGTTGACATTATTATTCCTAACACCTTTGATTTTCGAGTATGTTTCAGCGCATATATTGGAGTTGTCTTTGGCAGTGTCGAAATTGGCTTAGTACTAGCCGTATGTATATTGTATCACTATGCTCATATTTATTTCTAGATTAATTTTACTGTTTTGATATATATTTCTTTTATTAAAATTAATATGTTTTTTTTTTAATATGCAGATTGCAATATCTTTAGAGTATTTTTTGTGAACAGACTAAAAAGGCCAAGTAAGTTCAAAAAGCCAAGGAAGTTTAGTTTCAAAGACACTTTTTAACTCTTAAAATTCTAAAGACCAAGTAAGTTTTTATTTTTTTTAACTCTTTTTAAAATTTTGATTTGATGTTTCTGATTGAAGGGGGCTGCAGCATGGCTGTGGCTGTGCCTCTGCAGCTGACTCTATTCTAGTGAGACACAACTGTCAAAGCCTAGTTCACTTAACTCTTTTTTCTTCTCTACTTCTCATTTTTTCTTCTCTCCTTCTCATTTTTTTCTTCTCATGGATATTTTACTGATGGTGTGATTTTCTCCCTCTTTTATTTTGTGGGTATTGGATATATTAAAGCATATGATGCTCTTACTGATGCATGTCTTCTCTCCATGCATATTTGACTGGTTTTGCTTGAATATTGAGTTCCGCACCATGATGGCACCATTCATTGGTTGCAACATGGTAGGTAGGAACCAATATTGAGTTCTGCCCCATGATGGCACCATTCTTTGGTTGCAACGTGGCAGGTAGGAACTAGAACTTGCACGTGATGCAAGTGTGAAATCAGAACCTTGCACATGATATATTTTCTTGGACTGATGCAAGTGTAAACAACACATCTCTATGCATATTCTACTGATTTGCTTGTTCTTTTAATGTTTCTTCTTCTTTTTCTGATATGGTTGTCTTTTGTGAAAATTTGCTTGTTTATGTTGGAAATTTACTTATATTTTTTGTTTTCTATTAGGTGTATGCATTTACTACGGGTTTTGGATTGGCTTACTCACAACCTTCTGATCCAATTTATGCCAAAATCCCATCTTACCCTCACTCTCATTCTGCTATATGAACACTCGTTCACTCCCTCAATGGAACAGAGAGAAATTCCATTCCAAACCCTACTGACACTCCACCAATCCTCCCTCAAAACTCTGCTAAAAAACAATAAAAGCACCACAAAAAATCACACTAGATTCTGCTTTTAACCTCCTCCCATCTACCTCTCCAAACTCCTCAAAATCCCTCTCTACAGACACACAAATTCACTCTCATCCTTGCAAACAATCCTCAAATCCACCTCTTCTCTTACACAAAACCTTTGCTACAAATCAAATTCATACCTCACTACGAACCTCAGCTCACCCTTCATCTCAGTCGACTCCCAAACCACACCTTGCTCAGCCACCTTTCACGGCCACCATAACCAACATGCTGACAACCTCTGCAACAAACAACCACAAAACACTCTCATCACGCTCATCACTCGCCAACTCACGACATCAACAAACGGACAACACAACAACGTGGAGAAACGGAAAACGAGAAGAAAACCTCACACATACAAGCCTCGCAGAAGAATCAGAAGAAAGACTTACCAGAGATTCAAAGTTTCACCGGCACCACTTGTCACCATGTCTGAGAAGATGAAGTTTCAAGATCCCACGCACGCTTCCCAGGACCTTACAATGATCCTTCTCTTCTCATCACCATTAGATCTGGTCATCATTTGTTAACTAGGAGATCCCACGCTCTTGATCAGAAGCCCATGGTGCATCTTTCTCAGCTTACCGTGCCAGATCACGTGGACTTACAATGGGCCTGGACGCTTCTGTTAACTACACCCACTAATTTTCTGTTTTTCTGGCCCTTTTGTTTTATAATTTCTCTGTTTGATATTTATTTTTATATATCATAAAAATGTAAAATGTTGTTTAAATAGTTAATTATTTTAAATATTTTTATTTAACATTATTAATTAATTTTATTAAATAAATAAATTTAATTTAATTAATTGTTTATTTTATTTAATTTGGTTGTATTGTGTGAATTAATTTTGGATTTTGTTATTGTTTGGTTTCATCCCATTCGTAAACTATGCACCTCTTCCCATTTGATGTAATAGTTAGTAATTATATACATTTCTTTCCATTTGATGTAATAGTTAGTAATTATTTTATTGTTTTATTTACTTAATCATTCATTATCACTTACACAAACAAAAACAATTCAAACTAATACTCGATTGCGAGTCATTTCCATATCGTAAGTCGATAAAGCTTTTAAGCATCACAAACGATCACACATGCACACTTGTACACTTGATCCTGGGCATTCTTACAGATAGCCTACTCGATCAATTGTTCCAATTGATCGTTTAGAAGGCGGGTTCACTAGACCATGCATCACTTATAAGTTAGGATTCATACTTATGTTGTTTATGCTTGTGTGAGTCACCTTGTATGGGCTTATGTGTTTATTGCTTACCATTATTCATCATTCAAAAGGTGTACCTCCATCCTCATGGACTCGTAATAATTTATTTATTTTCTTTATTTTCATATTTGTATGCCTTATTCATAATTGTTCACTTCATTTAATAAAATCAATCAACCCCTGCATCTCAGTCCATATATCGAATCATAACCAATTTGATAAGTCGAGTTTGCTTTGTAATCACAACCAACCACCCCAAACATCATGGTTCATATACCAAGCCCTAACCAAGTTGGTAAGTAGAGTTTGTTTTACAATCGCAATCGACCCCTCGATTTCATCTTAAAACACTTTCATAATAAATTCAATGCCTGATCCAACATCAAATCATTCTTAAATGAAAAATCATTTTTCGTAATCAACTATAGGATTAAATGGAAAAGGTGGGAACCTACCTTCTCCCTTCCTAGATTAACCTTAGACATGTTCCCTTGCATGTCTTTATTTAATTACAATCCGACCAAAATACTTTTAAATAAAATAAGTTTGAACATTTTGTCTTACTCTTTCATAAAGAGTACTAAATGGATAAGTTGGGGGTCTACTTATTTTTTCCTAAGTGTGCGGGTGCTAAATATCTACTTTGACCATTCAAAGACTTGTGTTCTATAAAAACCAACTCAACTCATTCAAACTTTTTTCTATTTGGAATTTCTTTTGAAAATATCTCAATAAAAGAATGTGTTTTAGCCATTTCAATACGAAATGAATACAAAGACTTAGCTCCCCGAACGAGCAAAAATAAGTCAAAGTTCTAACATTTGAAATGTCTAAATGCATCATTCTTCTAAAAGCAAACAATAAACTCTTGGTCTTTTTTAGAAGAACTACTGAGTTCTGACTTCCTTATTGCACTTAAGGGATACATAGGCAAGAGGTTTTGAAACCGAGGCGAACATAACAAACTAAAAACAAAAACCCAACTTCCTTCTTTTGTTCTCGATCATTAAGTAGAAGATTGTAAACTATCACAATACCACTCAAACACATACGAACTAAATGGTTCCAATCGAGTACGATGGATGTGAGGGGTGCTAATACCTTCCCTTTGCATAACCGACTCTCATACTATTATCTTGGTTGTGATGACCATTTCTTTAGCGGGTTTTATTCGATACTTTCCTGTTCCTTTTGGAACAAATAAAAGTTCAATGGCGGCTACATTGCTTAAATATTTTTCTAGGCGCTTCAGCTGGCGACTTCACTGGGAAGAATCCCCTAAGAGAGTCCACCCCAGTTTAGTTCTTTGTGTGTGTATGTTTTTTATTTTGCTTTCTTCTTATTTTCTCTTATGTTTATGGTTATATGTCCTGTTTTTATCCTGATGCGGTAATGTTGGAATTTTCAAGGGTGATATGTTACTATGAGAGATACTCATTACACAGGTCTGAGAAAACATTTGAATTAGAAGGGTATTGTGTAGCGGTCAGGGTTTCCATACTCATTGTCTTGTTAGTCTATGCAAAGACCCCGCCTAGAGTAGGTCTTGTGGGGGTGTTATTGGCGTATATCCCTATATATTGCTAGTAGCATTTTCCAATATGGACAGGCGACTCTAGGAACCTTTAGAAACCCTTAACCAGTTATTGGACCTCTTTGAACCGATGTTTGTGTAGTGCTTACAAGATACCAGTCTTTTTAAGTCGCACAGAGAACCTAAACTATAGTCGGTTCCATAAATTTTAATAGTGGCAGGCATACCTATGATGTGTCGTTATTATCGTCAAATGTGACCCATGAATCTAGGAACCATGTTATCCAAAATCCGTAGATCTATCCTGTGAGGGGAATTATTAAGTAGATGTCGAAACCATTCTTGTCAGTCCTTTAAACTTCTACATGTGTGGAATTTACCCGTGAATTGTGAATATAATTAATATGAAATTGCACTGCATCACATTGTATTCTTACACGCATTATCATGCATTTCATCTTCATTAGAAAAACTCATTTCATATATTATGTCTAGAAAGATCAAACTGATTACCTGACACTGGCTTAGAATTTGAAGGATGTCTCAGAGAGCTAGAAGAGCTTCGTCAAGGTCAAGATCAGTTGAGGGCCGAAGTCAACCAATTGAAGAGTCAGATGAGTCTAGTTTTGGACATATTGCAATCCTTGTTAAAGAAAGAGAGAAATACTACGCCAATTGCTGCAACATACTTGGTTACCTCTCTTCAAGTGTTTGGTGGCACCATGGGCCAATGACAACCACTGGTGGCAAGTCTTACAGCTCAGAAACGTCTTCTTGGAATTGATACTCGGCCTTTGCCTCAAAAGATTTCTCGTCAACAGAATCAACAGTGGAATTCATCTTACCCTAATTATACCCTGCATGATATTCAACATATCTTAATGTTGTATACTCAATTTTTGCCTTACCTAATTCAGAGAGGTATTGTAGTACCGAGGGAGCTGAAGCAAGCACCAGGTGTAGAGTCGAAACCTTGGTACAATATGAATGCTAAATTTGTTTTCCAAGCCAATTCTCCTGGGCATATGAGTGAGAACTATTTTTCTTTCAAATTCAGAGTTCAGGAACTAATTGATGACAAGATCCTAACTTTCAAGCATAATGGCATAAATATAGACATCATGGTCGCAAAGTCAGAGAATGGAAGCATCAGAGGATTCCTAAGGCTCGTTGGAACCTTTGCCGACAAGGAAGATATTGAAACTCCAAAGGCTAGTGATGACAATGGCAAGGTTCGGGTGATAATTTTAGGAAAATTGGTAACCTTTAAATCCTTAGAATACAAGCTTGATTGAACTTCTTCAAAGGTTGGAGACAGAGTTTCTTTGAACTGAGTTTGTGATCTGGGCAAAACACATAACAACCAAAACTCTTGATCTTAATTATCAATCTTGACACCGATAATTTAAAGATGAAGAATCAACTTGTTAAACATATCCAACTGCTTAGCCAGGACTTTATCTTCACTCTTCTTGAATGAATACAGAGCATGCTTCAGGTAGAGGCAATTGACCAACGATTTGGTCATGTACAAACTTTCAAGTTCCACCCATAAACTTGACGTTGTCGTCTCCTTTCGAGACCTGTCAGAGAACCTTATCACTAAGGCTCAATATGATGGAGTTATGGGCTTTCTCTATCATAATCATTTTTTCTTTGTCTATTAACACAACGTCCATGGTCGTGACTCCCTTCAGCACTTCTAAACAACGCTGCTGAACCAGTAGGGCTTTCATCTTCAAGCTCCATAAATCGAAATCGTTCACTCCGGTGAACTTTTCAATCTTATACTTCATTGAAGAAATCTTCACCATGCTCATCACACCAATTTGTTATGAAAAATGATACCAGGAATAGAGTATAAGCGAATTCTTGAATACCAGGAAACCTTGAAGGTGCAAACAGAGACAATCAAATTGATTATAAATTATTATTTTTTACTTTCTCTTTGAAACAAGATTACAAGTGTTACAGAATAAAAAATAACCTCTCTCACCCTAATTAAGATTTGTGTTGTGCAATGATGAGAGACTAGTATGCTATTTATAAGAAAACTAACACACTAAATTAATGGGATTTTACAAACATGCCCATTACACAAGCTAACTTAGGGAATAAGCTAAATGAAACAATTGGGATTTTATAAACAATCACAATTCGATATTGCTAACAATCCTAGCATTTCGCCTACTGTGTATTTGAGCATACTTCGACTACAACACTGCAGGGCTTTGACTA